CATGGTCCAAACATATCGAATCGATCAGAAAGAAAATATCTCCAGTAATCGGAGTACTCTACAGGATTAGACACCAAATCACTTTGAAATACTTAAAATGTATATATTTTTTCTTGGTTTATTCAAAATTACAATAATTGATTTCAGTTTGAGGTACAGCTAGGTTATCAATTATAAAGATATTAACTCCATTTACAAATTTAAAATATTAAATTCCATCCATTCCGTCAAATTTAATCATTATAAACATTCAAATCTGAATTTTGAAGTCACAAGTCATCACATAACCAGACAAAGAGATATGTTAACTCTCATCGAAATTGAATCAGATATGGGTAAAAGATCTATTTTATACAATGGAACAATTCTCTATAATGAATTATCTGCCATACTGAAAAAAAAAAATTAAGTGTTGAGGTCAAACCAGAACTGAAAATATACTTGTCTTTGATTCTCTTATATCATCCTAAATCAATTCAAGAACTCATATTGAAGAGTCTCTAGAAGAAACAACATTATATGTACTATGTATATGATTTAAAAATGATTATCTGATTATCTTATTTTTTTTAGTTGCTTTTCCATAATTTTCCCTGCTATGAACATTTATGTTCCTTGGGAATAATAAAGATTACGATTATTATTATATTTCGTCAGCATGCCAAACCAGTCCTCCCTATTCTTCTTGCATTCTTTCAGAATCTTCACGAGTATTCCAAAATAAAATTTATATGTGAATGACGTTAGTACTTTTAAATCATAATGTACCACACTTCGTATCTCGTTGCATTTTTTGTGCATTTTACATCAGCACAATGTGATGGCATTCTCGAATTAATGAATAGCAGAGAGACACGTTTCGGATGCCAAATTAATTGTGTTAAACTATTTCAATCCTTTGTAAACATATATGAAAAGTGAGGTTGTGTGTCAATGTTTTGCCTCCAGGGTCGGTCATCGGACAGATCTTGCATTCTCGAATGCTTTCGACTTCAAACTCGCATGAAACAAATTTTGTCGAATAGTATGAGCTGGCAACATCGAATTAACGATTCCAGAATGTGTTCTGTGCCCTGTTCTGTGCCAATATTGCCAATGTGTTGTGGTTTCTTTGTTATTATGATGAAGGTTATGTCAATGTTATGTTGAGATAATGGCGGTGGAAGAAAAAAAACTTGTGCTTCATCTCAGAAGGTAACACAACTTGATGAAAGAAAAAGAGAATGAACCACTTTTATCTGAAGGCAAAAAAATGCAGATGACCGATGTCCTTGTAACACAAATACTTCTAGCAGTGCAATGCGATGACTCTCTCACTAATTCCTTACTCCAGTCCTTACTCAAATGTTATTATACATTTTTAGTCCGATGAACTTTTTTCAATATTTTATTTACGAATGAAATATTGTAAAGTTTCGGAGCATCGGCTGGGGATAGTCCTGCACGATTCGCTGCTGCGTTCCAATTAACAGTGCTGCTCCTAAAGTGGCGCATGGAGTTAGTAACAAAGCCTACACAGAACACGCAGAAAGATATGATGATGTGGTTGTGAGCATCAGAGAAGAAGTAGGACGGTGTATGTAGGTGGGTGTGGAAAACTACCATCTGAGCGTGAGAGCGGGCCAGCTGCTTAACCCATTAAGCGCCGTTGATGCGAAAACGCAACATTATATTCTGATTTTTTTTTACAGAAACTGAAACTGGAATTTTGTCCACATATTCCAGGATTATGTTTATATGAGTTTCATAATGATATGTGATTTTTCTGTGGCGAATACAACAAGTTTTGATTATCTCAATCTCATCTTGAAATTTGTGTGATTTCATTTCTCAAACATCCTATGCTGTAACACCCTGTATCTTCAGGATTTTCCAACATGTGTTTTTCGTTTTATGTTATTTTATGGAAGATGTATTGTACTTATTAGGTGACAACGAAAAATTTCAATACATCGATTTCGAAGAAAAATATAGTCATGCTAAAATAATGTTGCGTTTTCGCATCAACGGCGCAATACGGTAGTAATGGAATTTGAGTAGTGGGGGACCGCACGTAATTGAACATCGCGGACGGCAACTGAATCAGTTGCTGTTGTTGTTTCGAGTGGGTTATATCATTACTCTTGTGCATAATGTGGCGGAATCATGAACAGCATCGTGCTCTGACCCTTCAAGAATTGGAAGACGAATTGGAAGATTTGGAACCGGGAAGCGAAGTTGATGCTGTCATTATACCTCCAACTGTTGATGAGCTCACGGACGAAGAGGATATAGATGATGATATTCTGTTGGGTGAGTTCAGATATTATAATAATAAAAAAGATTACTAAACATAGATCTTTTGTTCAGGAAATTTCGTGCCTCAAGATGTAGCTGGTACTTTCGAATTATTGATCCCAGAACGGGAAGATGTTGACTCCAATACTATTTGTATTGATTCCGATGCTGGACCATCTACAAGCAAACGGACTAAAAAATCTACTGTTATCACTCCAAAGTGGAAGAAAAAACATCCAGAATATGATAAGCTACCATCATCGAATGAGGAAGTTGAGAAAAACAAACTGATAGAAATTCTAGCCGATAAATCACCTCTGGATATATTTTTCATGTTCTTCGATCCGGAGTTATTAGAAGAAATCAAGGAATTTTCTGAAAAATATGCCAAAGATAATAACAGGCATGATTTTTCTCTCAATATCATGGAGTTGAAAAAATTTATAGGAATTCTGATTTTTTCTGGTTATCACACTCTCCCCCAATTAGAAATGTATTGGAGCAGAGATGAAGATAAAGGAGTAACACTAGTGAAGAACTGTATGAGTAGAAATAGATTCCGGAATATAAAAAGGAACCTGCATCTGTGTGATAATGCTCAGCTGGACAAAAACGACAAATTTGCCAAATTGCGTCCATTATTTGATGCTATAAATAAAAGGAACTTACAATTCGGATTGTTTTCACATAACCTTTCAATTGACGAAGAAATGGTTCCATACTTTGGTAGGCATTCGGCTAAAATGTTTATAAAAGGAAAGCCTGTCCGTTTCGGATTCAAACTATGGTGCCTCTGTTCGGAAGATGGATATTTATTCCAGTTTATGCCATATGGTGGCGCAAGAAAGGAGAAATCAGAAATGGGTCTTGGAGCAGATGTTGTTGTCAGTTTGATGAACGTTGTTGAACATCCTTCCTCACACAGAGTATTCTTCGACAATTTCTTCTCGTCTTATAAGCTCTTATCCTTCCTCGGTGAAAAAAACATATTTGCAACTGGAACGATTCGAGATAACAGAATTTCCAATTGTAATCTAGAGTCAACGAACATTATCAAAAAGAAAGACAGAGGATCTTTTGACTACAGATTTGATTCGAAATCAAAGTTGTGTGTGGTAAGATGGAACGATAACTCCGTTGTGACCCTCATAACTAATAACATTTCTATAGATCCAGTGCAACCTGTGAAACGTTATGACAGAAAGCAAAAAAAGGAAATCAATATACCACAACCGTTAGTGATAAAAGAATACAATAAATATATGGGTGGCGTCGACCTCCATGATAATGGAATTGCGAATTATCGTATCAGAGTCCGTGGAAAGAAGTGGTGGTGGCCACTATTCATAAATAGTCTAGATAGTGTTATTGTGAACGTTTGGAAATTATGTAAACTGACAAACCCCAAAATGACACAACTCCAAGTCAGATCGTATTTAGTAATGGCTCTGATGAAAAATGAGGAAACTTCACAGGATTCTGATGATGAAACTGAAGAGACACGCATAATGTATCAGGGTAGAGGAAGACCAACTCGAACCGAGTTACCAGATGAAATCAGGAGGGACAAAGTTGATCACATCATCTCACGTCATCCTGAAAAGGCAAGAAAGCGTTGCAGACTGTGTAAGAGTCAAACAGTGTTTATGTGTGGAAAATGTAAAGTACACTTACACTCCAGTTGTTTTCTTAGATTCCATAATGTTTAGTACGATTTGACTCTTGAAAATCATTCATTTTTGGAAATAAATTTTTTTGAATATTACACCAGTATTGGCCATTGATGCGAAAACGCAACTTTATTTTTTTCGTCACACCCTATATATGAAATTTTTTTTCGCATGGCACTACTCTATTTGAGTCCAAATAAGTCAACTAATACAATTTTTTTCTATATTCGACCCCTCATTAACTGCTTGGCGGTTAATGGGTTAAGTAGATCTCGGTCTCGGGGGTTAACGATGATAGTTAGCAGGCCTGCCACTGCGCATATGGTAGTGAGTACATTACTAGCCTACAAAACACAGCTGAAAAACTCTGAAAAGAGAGCTGAGGGGCGGTGCCTGAAAAGGATGTTAGCCAGCTCTCTTGAGCGAACCACATCAGTCATTGAAAACACTTGGGGTTGGCAAAAAGGTCCCATTGGGGACTAGTTGCTGACGTGGAAACGTCCCCCACCAGTACCAGTACCAGTAGTCCGATGAAAATCTGAACGCATTCTTATATACGTTCTCTCGTGGCCGTTGGTGATTCTCTTAATTTCCAAATTTTCAATTTTTATCAATGAAGCTGCCATTCTCAAAATAACAGGTGGAGAAAATCAGGTAAATATTCAGTTTCGCATTCGACATAAAATTGTCGACTGCTTAAGACCACTCTACGAAAAATTGTCTATCGAAAATTTTCGAATACGTCCTTCAAGAATGAGCAGTCACGTTTTTTGTTCGACAATAGAGAAATCTCAAACGCGACAAAATATCTCACCGTTTGAGAATTGGGTCCCTGGTATGAGACAATATCAAAGTCAGTGATTATACACGATTTGCATTGTTTCCAATAATGATGAGATTTTTCTATAAAATTTGAAACGAGGTACTTTTGAGTCCTCAAATTGCTTTTTTACTGGTTCTGCTGCAATTACTCTAGGAAGTCCGTAACATATTTTTCAGAGGAGTTTGAGCGTGAGTAAAGTATATCAAATAGCGTTGATAATAAATTCTTACCGATGATGAGAATGGACATCATGGTTACTGTATCCTGCTCTTCCATGATGCCAATGCTGAGATCCATAAACGAGTCATTTTTAATAAACTGAAACAAAAAAGTACTATGAAATTTGGGTTTCATCAGTTTGATATTCAGACATGAGTGCCCGATAAATTTCAAGAGAAAAAATATACAGGGTGTTGGTGAATAAGTGCGACAAATTCGAGAGGCTGATTCCTTGTGATATTTTAGGATATAAACATGTGTCCTAACTTGCTTCGTTTTCGAGATACAGGGTATTAATATTTCCATGAAAACTCGTTTTTTCAATCATTACTCAAATGTCTTTCTACCAATTTCAATGGAACTTGGTGGTTTAGTTGAATGTAATATTATGAAGCATCTTTTGATGTTATTAAGTTCGGAATAATATTGTCACTGTGCCACAGTGGGTTAATTTAACGATATCCGCACGGTTAATATCATTGTACGCCACTAATTCTTCTGGCTTCCATATTTTTATTAGATTGAACAATTGAAATATCAACTTTCTCATCCTGTGTTTTTTTTTTGGAACTTGCTTAGTATCTGAGGAAACGATGGAAATTCGATTCGACTCCAAATTTCAATGTCGAAACATTCATTGAGATTATTCAAAAAAAGTATAAGAATATTGCTATTCTGGCTACCAGTATGAAATTTGGCATACATGATGAGAAATTTGTAGGAAACAAAAAACCATCGAGACGCAAGCTGTGTCTGGAATATTTCGTCCGCCATTTTCTAAAATGGCGGCCGAAAACTAGATTTTTTGCTGATATCTCAAGAACGGTGCAAAATTTTGGAAGAGTTCAAACTCATGAAATGAAGAACATTACAAGGCGGACATTTTTCATCTGAAACATTTTCTTGTGAGGCTAATATTAAAGTCAATAAATTGAATATATTCAGTGGAAAATCCTCGTTTTCTCAAAAAATCATTTAAAATTCCAACAATTACCCCGTTACCAAGTATCCCCTACCTATTCTCCTCCTTACACACGTCTTCATCTAGAAATATAGAAGATCTTTTTTAGCTCTACAATATACCGGGTGGGGCATTTATCTTGAGGCAAAATTATATCTCGCTTGTATTCGATTATTTCGAAACAAAAAAAAAACTGAGAAATATTGTACTAGACCGGAAGTGGGGCCTCTAGAGCGAAAGTCGATTTTTTTAATAGAAACACCCATTGTTCAGCACAGATTTGGATTGGAAATCATTGGCCTTACATTATTTGTCTGAAATGTCTTTCGAAATAATCGAGTCGAACCGAGATATAATTTTGTCTCAATATAAATGCCATACCCGGTATACTCACTTTGATCTCTCACTCAATTCTTCACACCCTGGAATTGCAACCATATATTCCAAATGCAACTAACTGGGGGTGGAAGTCGTCAAATCTAGAATGTCAAGATGAAACGATTGAACCACTTTAGACAGTTTTGCCACAAGCATCTGATGAAAGTTCAGAATTGATCAGCTGCAGATGTAAAACAATGTGTATTAAGAACTGCAAATGCAATAGATTTGATTTGCAGTGTACTGCTCCATGCACGTGTGATGGATAGTGTATTCACTAAACATTATTTGTAATACTGTTTCATTAGTTAGTTGTTAGTTCACCAAGATTCTTACTGATTTAATAGAACCTAATTGAACATCAAGCCTATAACATGATTGATAAATGATTTTATTATTAGATTAAAATAAGTGACCGCCATTTTACGTACTGGTTCCTTTGGTTTGAATCCTCAAGAAAGAGTTCATCATACAGATAACACATGATCATGATTTCTGTGGCTAATATTAGCCTGAATGTTTCAATTTTGATTTTTTCTTGAGAAACCTTGAAAAATTGAATTTTAATATTACGATTATTGAATTTTTGATTAGTCTGACAAAAAAATGTTTCGAACAAAAAATGTCCGCCCTACTATCCTCTATATTTCATCAATTCGAACTTTCTCGATATTTTCCACCATTCTGGAGATATTAGCAATAATCCAGCTTTCAGTCGCCATTTTGAAAAATGGCGGCTGAAATATTCCCGATACAGCGTCTGTCCCGATGGTTTTTTGTTTTCTATATATTCATCAACATGGTAGCCAGAATGGCAATATTCTTGTGCTAACATAACGCACTAATTGAGAATCATTTTGGAATTTCGGTACTTTTTCACGAACACCCTGAATATGACATTTTATAGCATATGCATAGCAATATGAAACCTCTTTATTAATGAAATGTTTGAAGGTAGTACGAGAACGGGACAGAGATAGTCATATACGGTATAGGACAATGAAATACCACAAAAGTCTCATGAATACGCGGGTCATCATATGACAACCCTATTCATTTGTAAAGAACTATGAATACCAGCGCTAATTAATATTGTGGAAATATACGTGAATTTTTGGTCAACTCGCCTCCAACAATTAATGTTTTCGCGTTTTTGTCTGGACATTACCGAAAAAGTGGAATGTTGCATTGTCCACCTGATGACGTCCCAAAAACGATGTTTCCTGGAAAATGTGTCTCCCTCCTTGTCCAGCTGCGAGCAAACGACCAATTAGATGGGAAAATCCATCCAGAAATCCAGACAACGCCCCGAGAGCATTATGCTCCGGGCCGGGTCATTATTTCCAAAAAAATGTGTCGCTCGCCTTTCAAAGTGATCTCATGGGTATAGTTATACGCGGGCGAATGCTGAAATGATGAGCGTTTCGGATTTTTCTGATATGGACAACAAGTTCACATGCATCAGGATGTTTATTAGATTTTCAACAATGATCTGCCCAATATTAAGGGATGTCCAATAAAAATCATTGTTGAAATTATGGTGGATGTACAGGGTATCCCACATAACTTGGGCCACCCCTTTATCTGGTAAACTATTATATATACAGAAAAAAGTTCAGAATAAAAATTGTATTATTTCTTATGACATTCAATTTTTAGATACTGTCATTTATACAGGATGATCCATATGTCTGTGACATATCACAAATACGTTTTTTCAAATGGAACACCCTGTATTTTATCATATTTTTAGATAGTACATCGGAAGACGAGTTCGATGATATATAATAACATGGGTCTGAGATCACCCGTTTCGGATTTATACACGATCTTCTTCAATAAATTGTCTAATTTCAAAGCCTTATAGAAACGTTGTGAATGAAGTTTCCGATTCGCAACTTTTGCAATAAATTAACAAAGTCTGTATATTATTTTGTTCTATGGTGAAAATTTAGGAATTTTGAATTTGCCGAAAGTGATGACGTATTTTGAAAACCAATAATTATCTCGAGATCTTCAAATGGAACACCCTATATTTTATTCCATATTTGCATAGAACTCAAAAATACGAGTTCAATGATCTATAATAACATGGGTTTGAGATCTCCCGTTTCGGACTTATACACGATCTTCTTTAATGAATAGTCAAACAAAAAAACTAACAGTAACTGAGAAAACGAGTAAACATAACAACAGTAACAATTAGATATAGTATTCAATTGAATATACAAATTAGTCAGATCAAATTTTCTATATACCGTCCATTTTCAGCTATGCACGTAGTATATCTTATCGCGATATGTCTCAGGGTATTTGCTACTGCATGTGATTCATTCAAATTCACGATTGCGACTCGTATATTTTCTTTTAATTGTTCTATGTTATCACATCGATTTTCATAAACTTTGTTTTTCAAAGCACCCCATAAGAAAAAATCTAAAGGGGTGAGATCGGGACTACGTGGTGGCCGGAAGATAGATCCATCTCGTCCAATCCAAGTTTCGTATGATTGATTCAAGAAGTCCGTAATTGGTTTCACACCATGATATGGAGCGTCATCTTGTTGGAAAATAATATTTTCCCTAATGAACTCTGGCAAATCGTTTATCAGAGCTTGCACTTCATTCTGCAACATATTCAGGTATCTTTCGCCATTCAAACTTCTTTCAAAAAATATAGGGCCCACAATCCTATCTCTGATTATTCCACACCAGACATTGATACTGCGATGACCTTGCTTTTTAATTTTTTTTATCATATGTGGATTTCTATCTGTCCAATAGTGACTATTTTTTCTATTGAATATGCCCGCTGTAGTAAAGGTTGCTTCATCAGTCCATAATATATGATTGAAAATATCATTTTCAAAATGTCTATCCATCATCAAAGTACAATACTCCAATCTTGAATTGAAGTCAGCCTCACTCAAATCTTGAACTGATAAAAATTTAAAAGGTTTGAACTTGTGTAATTTTAAAGCTCTATGTATGCTGGTTTTGCTTACTTCCAAGTCACGTTCTGCATTCAGTATTGAGTTTTCTGGATGTTCTTGGAAATACAGCAATATATCCAATTGTTTTTCTTCGGTCAAAACTACATTTCCTCTAGTTCTCTTATCCGGTTTGAGAATACCTTTTGTTCAGATATCGTTCTCTATTCTCTGAAATATTTTTTTGTTTGGTACGACACGTTGTGGAAAACGGTCACGATATTCTCTCAAAGCCAGCACAGTATTTCTGTTTTTTAATAAATAGCACTCATGAAGATCAAATCTCTCTTCTTTAGAATGAATATGCATTCTGAAAGAGTTTCTCTGCACCAATTCAACAATAAATAATCGGGTTTGACAGTTATTGATATGACATAAACAAAAATCCCATCTATGAGTGCACAGCCTACTCAGCTCACGTTGGCATGTCATTCCACTTTGAGTTTTGGTTTTCTCTTCGATCATTTACTCATGTCCAGTGTTTATTCATTGAGAATTCAATGAAAAATGTTGAACAGTATGAAAGATATACGATTTTTATGAGGAAATTACATTTATTGCAATGAATGCATCCGAATTGATAAGGCAGACAATAAAAAAAAATGTTCAAATACATTTTATTAATTGAATATTCCCGCATTGGTCTCGTATAGAGTCAAATGTAGGTGAAATTTAATTGTGATAACCTGTGCTCAATCATTTCCAAAAGGTTTCCTAGTGAAATAATAGTATAACATTACATAAAAATTT